CATCACTCCTCGCAGCGATGAACATCTGCACAACAATGTTTCACACACACAACTGTCCACTCGCGCTGACTTGCGAGAGCACGCGTCTTCGAATCCCCCATCGCCGGTACCAGGAAACAGCGCCGCTCCTCGCCTAGTCACGTCCGCTACGCTGACCAGAAGCAACACCGTTCATGACACGCTCAAAAGCAGCGATTCCCCTGAATCAAACGTATACGAACAGTCCCCTGGATTTGCTGCAATAGCTCATGGTGTGCCTGCCGAAGCTCCGCCCAAAAAGTTACCAATCGAAAGCGACCGTAATACAGTTGAAACACTGCTGAGCAGGCGTCAAAGTGGGGCCTACTGGCCAACCAAGCGAGAACAGAGTCGCACCCCTTCACCGCACAAGGTGAATCGTGATAATTCTCTGACATTGCCCATTGAACCTCTCACATTGCGTACAGGGCACCCCATCAGCCACACTCCACCCCACAGAGAACGCGACACGTCAGCGTCCATGTCAGTCCAAATATCGCCGATGGTGTCGTGCGATGTTGTGCGCGACGTTCATGCGATGTTCCCGCCCGTGAGACGCGCCATGTCAATTGGCACAGCCATGGGCCATGGGCGCAACAGCAGCCGCGAGAGCATTGGTGTCAGCTGTGAGCCTTCCACTAATATCGGGTTGCCGTCGCTCGCTGGGCAGGTGCATGCGAGAGGCGCTCTCTCAGCACGGCCCGTCGACCCCAACAGATTCTTCATCCGCACCAACTCCCTCCCCGATGCGCAAATCATCACTGCCCCAATAATAGCCCAATCGCGCAGTGCGGAGCCCAGCATGGCAGACCTATTGCAGAGATGGAGCGGAAGACCTCCCAACGATAGTTCTCGGGACACCGTCGACAGTGTGATTAGATCTCACGCACAGTCGATCCGTGCGGATGCTATGACCTTCGACGCAACTGAAAATCATTCGGGAAATGATGAAGTAAGTCAATTAGAGAATGAGGCCTAGAAATACCAGTGGAATTAGCAAAGCTTGTGCGCACCTTATCGTATTTACATATGCAGTTGAGATGTGTGATACTTCGTATGCGTGTGTGTATTCAGCCGCGTGTAATGTGTAGCGAGCAAGTGCGCATAAGTAGCATGTATGTACCTCAGGATTCTTTGCGTGTGCTCTGTGTGGCTATCGCCATTTACCGCAAATGTGTGTTTTGAGTCGATCTTCCTGATTGCACCAGTTAGATGTGAATGAGAGATTTGTATCTAACAGACAGAATTTCAGGGGCCTACGACCGATCCCTACGTGATGCTAGTCCTTGCATGTCAAAATTTTGCCTCTTGTGCGGAACCAATGTATTTGGCTTTCGGAACAAATTATACGCACACGCACGGGCGTGGTCCATCGCAGTTTTGTACTCACGAACGATCCGCCTACATTGTCATAGCCGTTGCCACGGCGCAGCTCAATGGAGAAAGTCCTAACCATCAGGCGACTGCAGACGGTAGAGTCTGCGTCGCCAATGGTCTCGCGGTCACTGCGTTCTGTGGGCTCGAGTAGTTCTGTGGATTGTTCTCTGACCTGTGTGCCTGAGATGGTTCCTAATCCTCACACTGCGCCAAGTAAAATGAGCGAATCCGTGATTTTCAAGAAAGGTTGGTGAAGTGCTCGGTTGCTTAGCCGAGTGGTGGTTGGGCCTGTGTATTTGCGTGCATTTCAGGGTTTTAGAAAACCCTAAAACAAAACAAAAAAGGCCACTGTTTCACGAGACTCCTTGATACCTGCAACATCTACAATTATAGTCGTAGTCAAAGTTTTAAGTTCCAATGCCTGAATAGTCGCTGATGGTATATTGTCAAGCCTACAGCTGATGCACATACCGCATGCAACACGCTAGATCTGCCGGCTTCTACTATCTCGTACTGCACAGGCAGCCTTCGACCGTTAGCTACTCTGCAACAGTATACATTTGTTTAAAACCATTGGTACGTATGAAGCGAGTGGGGTACAGTGTTGCTAAACTCATTTATGCGGTATATACTTGCAGATGTCCCGCATCTCGCTGATCCGCGACAGGCACACAGACGCAGTCATTCGACCACCAGTATAGATTCTAGTCAGGCTGGGCTTTTGGACGCCGCACACCCGTCGAGTACTGTATATGGAAGATCCGCTTTGAGTGCAACAGACAGTCTCAGGACTGCACAGCATGGCCATGCCCATTCGCATACGGACGTGCGGCCAGGTATGTGGTGTTCACCAGTCGGACGACAGTGGTTTCATCCGTTTGCCTGTCTCTGTATAAAGCTAGAGGGTGCATGTAACCTACAGCTGGTGACCTTAATGCCGCGAAGTAGAATCGAACCCGGGTGCTTTTGTTTTACGTTGAGCAAATTTATTACCGTGATTCAAGAGTGTATTTTTAAAAGTTCTATCAGCGGCCATGTTCAGTTGCACTCGTTACATCCTGTGCTTCATATAGCCCGCATCTTCGTTAGACCAGTTTAAGTACAGAGGTCATAGCCAGAAATCATCAGTGAAAAAGAGATGATGTCGATTTCAGTCTCACTGCCAGTCCCACAGTTCATTCCATAAGATTCCTGTATCCTTAATTAAGTATGTTGCCATCGTAACCACAGAGTCGCTCGCCATGGCTGTGAATTCCATCTGCGCATCAGATCGCAGTTCCTCTATCGCCCAGAACGTCGACTCACCGCGAAAGATCACCAGCAGACGCATCAGAAATGCTCTGCTCAGTCCTCGCATTTTCAATCGCGCGAACTCAACTGACGAAACACACCTCGACGTCTCAGGAAAAGGCCTTCTGTCTGCCACCGTGTCTGATAAGGTAAAATCAATGCGTGTGCATTGCTTCATAGCCTGTGTTCTGTGTTCTGTTGATTTTCCAGCCACAGCATATGTCGCTCGAGCAGAGGTGTTGCTGTTAAAGGATCAATTTGCGACCAAGTGGTGCGTTGGCTTATGGAAGGCTCTCACTACTTGTGGTGCATCACTGGCGACACTTCCGTTGGACCACAGACTGTCATTGTTCATTTTTTCGTTGAGCGAATGTTAATTCGTCGTGTTCTATCGTATAGCCAGCATTGTGTGCTTGAATCACAGTGTGGCTCATAAGAAATATGGCACCAATTTGGTGGAAACGTTTTGGAATAGATCGCATGTCGTCTGTATAGCAACGGCTTTTGGCGCATATGTGATGCACAGGCAGTTTATATAATTGGCGTTTTGCACTCGTACGGTCATTGAGGGCCGGAACGCTTCTTCGATTAGTTCTATGCTATTGAGGTTTTATAATTTATGCACGCGGCAGCCGACTGTGTACATTGGTACCGAACTTCATGTAGTGCTAGAGCAGTATCACGCAAGCACGTAGACTGGCGTGTAAGGAAGTATTTGTTTGCACGCGATGATTTGCCCATATTGTCTGCTTCATGGTCTAGCGATTGGATAGGCTACACTTAAATTCACTTTGATCCCTATCTCGTTGCACATGTCACATGACACAAACACAGACGATGAAGTCGCAGCCTCGAAACTCCGAGACAATCACCTTGGGAAACCTATTTCGGCCTAGAAGTCGTACTAGCAGCTTGGATCATAAGCGTGCGCACGCATTAGCTGCGTCCATGATAAGCGACTACGAGCCGATGGCTATGAAAAATGACAAGGCGCCGTCGAAGAATGCGAAGAGCTGGCGGCGGACAATGGGTCGCAATAGGAGTGATACTGGCACCGGAAAGTATCAGACAAACTCTTCCAGCAAGACCGATCTACGCACTGACGTATCATCGACCAGCTATGAAAACTCCAGCACTCACAGAAGGGATTTGAGAAGTACAAGTGATACTTTCATTTCCATCTCTCGTGATGATATTAGCAGCACAAATCTTTATGACGACACTGCCGATCGAATCGATGATCGTGGCAAACTACACAGCAAAAGTGGTATTGTCACTGCATATAGCGGCAATTTGTCGAGCGACTTCAAGGAAAGTAATACGAAGAACGTCGATGGTGGTGGCAGAAGCTCCAGTGTCAAGTTCGACACCAGATTCATCACAGATGATGACTGCGGCAATATAGAAGACGGTAGCAGTAGAAACTACCGCAATAATAGTTATAGTAACCTTGCAAGTAGTGATAGTTTTGGTCAAAACAATCAGGGTGAGAGCATCATTTATGAGAGCAACGCAAAACCTCTCGGGAAGAAGAGCTTGAGCGGCCCGACCCCACAAAACCAGATGGCTGCCCCACAGGCGACGTCTAAAGTGGCGATGTTTCGTCAGAAGAGCGACATTAGATCTGTGGGAGGTGCGTTGTCTAAGTCACGGAGTATGTTGGCCCGTGACGGCAGAGGTCAGAGTAAAGACAAAGAAAAGGACAAGGACAAGGACAAGTTAGACTTGTTCGCCAAGCGCTCGCGGGCTCTCACTGCTGGATCGCATCTGGGATTGGGGCTGAATGAAAAAGTCACCAGTGTGCTAAAGAAACTCATGTATAACGAGGTATGACTCGTAGTGCATAGGGTGACCAATATCATGTCTATGTGCAGAATTGCTGGTAATGTCCTGTGCAATGCATCTGTAGTTTGTACCTTGTTCTATTGCTCTGCCGCATTAATTTGTGATGGCTGTTGTACCTGGTGTCCTTTTCTCGTTAATTTAGAATGTATGGACACGTCATGGGAATTTCTTGCGGTCCGTTGTTTTCATTAGCATCATCTTCTGTTGCGCATACATCACTGTCTTCCGACTGTGCTGCGCGCCAAACGCCCTTCATATATTGTGAATTATGTATGGACCATATTTATTCCTCGATATCGCGCACAATGCAAGACGTACAACACTGCGCGGGTATTGAGTTGGATCACTGGGTGTATATGTGCAGAAAATCTACACACGCCCTTCCCGTTTAACTGTGCCTTCTTCAGGGTCCAGTCGCTATACACGTATCTCAGTAACATTAAATTGGTCCACACAATATGCACAGGAAATTGGGCTCGATCTTTTTCAGGACAGAGATCCATTAACGGACAGATTGGAAGTAGGTATGGGCAATCGATACGCCGATGCGCCACAACTCAATGAGTTCATCTATCGATTCAATTATGAGAGCTACTGGGTGGCCACGGAAATCTGCACTTTGGGAGGTTAGTCAGCGTAGAGTGTATGCTGTTGTCAGTACCAGGGATTGAGTGTGGTGTATCTGTGTGTCTGCTGACGATTCGCGACCTGCATGGATAAGAAGCTTGACTGCACGTCCTTTTGCGCAATGCTTGATTGCTACCAGTGTTCTTGGAGACAAACGTTGTCAGTACCAGGGATTGAGTGTGGTGTATCTGTGTGTCTGCTGACGATTCGCGACCTGCATGGATAAGAAGCTTGACTGGTTGCCTTTTGCGCAATGCTTGATTGCTACCAGTGTTCTTGGAGACAAACGTTGTCAGTACCAGGGATTGAGTGTGGTGTAGTAGAGTGTCTGCTGACGATTCGCGACCTGCATGGATAAGAAGCTTGACTGCACGCCTTTTGCGCAATGCTTGATTGCTACCGGTGTTCTTGGATATAAGCGTTGTCACCTTTCTTCCATTGACGTATAAGAGTTGTACCTCTGAGTAGAGACACTCCAATGGTCGCATTAGTTTTTAGTATGCTTGTCCGTTGACTTCATGAATCGAGTATAAAATTGTGTACCTATTGCTCACTTCCATGATCGCATGGTATCTTTGTTATATTGGAAATTGATGCGACATGGCAACTCGTGGCTCTGGAAGTATTAATCTTAGGGTTTTAGGATTAAACCCTGAAACCCTTCATCTGTTCACGGGATGTTGTCACGTGCTTAAAATCTATGGCCACTGCTTCCATGCTGATGATATTTTTAGCCCAAATTTGATGCTTATCGTATACTATACACTTTCAGATGATAGCCGGACACAGGCAAGATATATCGCCAAATTCTTAGCTATCGCCAAACGTTGTATCGAGTTACGAAACTACTACGGCGCCTTCGCTATTATGGGGTAAGTCTAAATTCAAATCCAGGACACTCGTACCGTTTTCTCGATTTGCAAATTGCATTTCGGCGCATACCATGGCAGACGCTCTGTGTTGAACATCATTAATATTAGTTGTAGTCAAGTATATGACAGTATTCTCAAAAGCGTTGATGTAGCCCGCTTTCTCACGTGTCCCTATCCACATACCCGCACGTGCGGCAGTTGTGCGCTTCCCCACTTCTCAACTGTACAAAGCAAGCGAGTCCGCTTATCGTCTGCATGTTTTCTGATGCTTTTTAAATTTTTCTTTGGCAGCGGTCTTCGATTTCCTCCCGTGCGCTCTCTCAGGGAGGCGTGGAAGTTGGTACCGCCATCTGTCATCAGCGATATCAAAAACTTTGAAGCTACTTACATGAATCCTAGGAGCAACATGAAAATGTATGGAAGCTCATCATCATGGAACCTCGTATATAGTACATCCTAGACTATGCTGCAATTACATATAGATCTCCTTTTTATTGAAGGCCTTGTTGCACGTGTGGTCGATTATCCGATTGATTTATCTGTTGACCCTGTGTTCAGTTGGCAGCTGATTCGAACTTATCTTCGCCTATGGCACTATTCTGCGGCTCGTAATGCTATCATACTTAGTTTGTGTCTGATTTTCTTACGATCATTCAATGACATCTCACGGTGTGACTAGCAATAGTGCGATAGTTTGTGCGAAAAACTCTCCCTCATCAACCAGTTGGGTTGGTTCTACGAACAAGTATTTTCTTTGTTTCACCTGTCCATCACCCACAAACACGTGTTCTTCGTCGAGCCTTTTAGGCCTTAGGGTCTTATCGGGTGTTAATACGTTTATTTGAATGGCCGCCATTAAATTTACAGATATAGAAATGCCGTGCCATCGCCCGGGGACTTACCAGCCTTGCCGTTCGTGCCTTTATCTTTGAAGGTAATCACCAAACGTATTGCATACGAATTCACACTGCTCATTCGTTGACTACATACATTTTTTTGAAGTGTTAAGTTTATGTAGTCGTTGCTGGGTGCATATGGTCACATGACCAATTCTTAAGTATGTGAATATATGCACGTTCGAACCGTTAAGCTTGCGACGTAGTTTGTTGTACTCGCAACTTCTTTCATTTCTCCGGCATCAGTTATATTGAGCAACGAATGCGGTTGCAACGTGAGATATGTGTAAGTGCAGAATGTTTTTATATGTATGGGTCGACATAATCTTCAGGAATCTCAAGCAATACATTCAATTGTACACATGAACCGAGTGTATACACTCAGGAAAGTTACACCCTTATGTGTAGAACCCTCAAGTCTGTAAGATGAATCGATACTATCACGGTCCAAAATGGAAAAGCCTTGAAATTAATACTATGATCGCTGCGTTATATCGGGTGCTCGGAATATTTTAGTTCATATTTAAATTGGTGCGAGTATACTTTTGCTGGCTTTACTTCTATATATCGATGTCAAGATGGGTCTTTGTTCCTCTCACATATATTAATTATACATTGATAATATGGGCACACAAACGTATTTTTTAAGTTGAATTTAAACGTTACTGTAGTATTTTATAAACTATAAATAAGTATGTGCACTTCATGGTTGCTATTCTATCTAACCCATGCGCACGTTTTATACTTTTCTGTTTGTATGGATGTTTTTCGTGACTTTCATATCATGAGGATAAGATCACACTCATTCTCTCATTGCTACGACTCAGTTGCGCATATGAGCTTACGAATACTTCGTTCATCCAAGCAATATTGTTCTCGATCCGACGTCAACCTATGACCTGCTGCATGATTGCTTACGAAATTGCCACACGTTCATTTTGAAACCATATCAAATTTCATCTTTGAGTGCCTGTGCCGATATATAACCTTTCAATCCTGATTGACTCATTAGTCTGATGTATTTCTCGTGCGTTAGCATCTGACGATATTCGTATAATCATCTCTATAATCACAGGACCTAGTTTTTATCAACGATGGCAATGAGAAAATGATACCAAACACCAAAATGTACAACTTTGATCGACTGAGAAGGATAGCAGAGATCTGCACGAGTTTGAACGCGTACGTCCGCAACGTTTTTACTATACATCGAATAGTTTGCAGAGTACATATACATCAGTGAACTACATGACTGTATATATACTGAAAGACTGGTACCTGTGCTTGATTTCTGAGTTTTTGGGCCGCACTTTCGACACTATGTGGTTGCGTGTGTTTTGCATGTATTTACGCTAACACGTTAGTGTACGAGTATGGTGGTATGTTGTGCATGTTTGTGTGTGCCCGTGTACTCCTATGGTATTAAATCTCAGTTGTTATCAGCCTATCAAGAAAGTGCGTGTTGCCCGGTTTGTAGTGTTTGCTTGGCAGCCTCCATTTAATGGAATCCATTCGAATTCAATCTACCTTGCTGAATTATTTTGATTGTGGACCGCTTGTGTTTCTGGATTAACGCTCATTTGCACTCCATTGAATCGTTGTATGTCAACCAACTTTACAGGTATAAGCGTCCGACGTATCGAATAGCCAGGAACAAGATGATCATCGGACAATTACTTAATGCCAAGATGACAACAAACCTGGACTACCTACGTATACTCAATACGAAAAATCCACCGCCCGAACGTATAGCGAGAGCTGTCAAGGCAGACAGAGACCAACGATTAGCTAGCCGATCGGAGAGAAATAATCCACGTTCACGCCTTAATAACGCTGGTAATTCATAGTAGCACAAAAGGCTTTACACGAGTATTTGTAATACAGTGTAAATCTGACGTCAATAGTAAAATTCTGGATACGAATAGTCTTTGCGATTAAAAACTCATGGCAGCAACAACCGCAGAAACCTACCAATTATTTACTGCAATATATCCATGCGTTTTATATTTGAACCGTGGAAGCCATCCGATGACTATGGAAGTATATCGAGTGAGATGATAGCATGCTTATAATCGATGCAAATTATATTTTTGAGGGAATGTAATAAGGATTCAATGCTAAGCGATGAGAAAGGTTCCCACTGATTACGAGTGCTTTGCTTTGCGATACAACAGTGTGTTTTGTAGTAGAATATAATAATTTAAACAGATGTTCGCTCGTGTAGAGTAAGTGCAAGTGGGAAACATGAGTAGTCTGATATAAAGCCACCCTGTGCTAGGTCAGCGTTTTAGCTCGGATTTTTTTTAGGTTTTTTTAGTGCAGCCGCCCGTGAGTATCTCGGGGATTAATGGTTTGGGGTTTAGTTTTCCCTTCTGGTCATGTCTAACGGTATATATGGCTTTCAAAAATCATGACGTATCAAATCAGCATCGAAGCACTTTTTGGCTATTGTATCCCAGCATAGCATGCATGATGTGCGAAGTAGCAAAGATATCTTGAACTAGCGGTATAAGTTGTTGCTTCTGCTATTTTGTAGGGCGTTTTCGGATTGAAATTTTTTTTTGGAAATAGGTGAATAATATGTGCTGTTGGTTCTGTTGTTAGGTATGGAGGATAGCTTGGATTGTTTTACCTTCTGGTTTGTACATGTTTTAACAATTGTGATGTGAATACGCTATGTAGCACGAAGTAGTGTGCGAGGTGTGTGGGAACTACTTTTGAGGTAATAGCCAACACAGTACCCTGTGCTACTTTAAATAGCTTATTACGTATTGTAGCATAAGCTGGGTTTTAGGGTTTAGGGGTTTAGGTATCTTTATTTGTTTACACGCTATTGCTATATACAATGCCTTGTGTCCGAAGACCTGTGGCGGCCGGCAGGTGTCGCAGTTTGTGCCTTAATCCCTGTTTTCTCAGGTAGAGGCTAACTGAACTGTCTAATGGCTGAGTTGTTGCGCTGCGTTTAGTTTGCTATTTGGCTTGGTTTCTTTGGGTCTGTAGTTCTATGGGTTGTTTTAGTAGTAGTTTGTAGATCCTAACTGGTTGGAAACAAGCGCTGAGAATATACTATGACCG